AAATAATTTTAATAACATTCATAATAATCTATAACAATTGAAAAAATAAAAACCCCCCCCCCCCCGTTGTTAACAATTAATAAACACATTTTACCTTATTACGAATTTTTACATAGTTAACAGGAAAAGTCATTGTGAATTGTTCCATGGCCCTCTCTGGTGATTAGTGGCTGGCCATTAATCATTGGTTAGGAACCCCTCTGTTTGATTGTTCTATGCTGTTTGTAGGGACACCTCAAGTGGTATAGTTGTAAATATTTCTTGTATATATTCTTTTTATTTTATTTATTTTACTAACTTAGGCTAATGCCAAAAGTACTTAGCATTAGTACTGTAGAGTAGGAACTGCGCAGTATAGAGTATTTTGGGGAAAGCTCCTAGCTGTGTGCAAAGATGGAGGACTTGGAAATTGGGAAGGCTCCTAGCTGTGTGCAAAGATGGAGGCCTTGGGAATTGAGAACCCTTAGCTGTGTGCAAAGATAGGGAGATTTATATATTGGACTTTTATATTTATTTTATCTTATATATTTATTGGACACATCACAAGCTGTATTTTGCACACTCACAATACAAAAACCAGCATGGTGGACATTCGTTTGTTCCACAAAATCATAAATTGTTACACAGAAAAATTTATTAATTATTGAATGGCATCAAGTATTTAGGAAATTTATATAATAATAGATTAGAAAGTTTAGATAATACATCTGTATTAGGGTGAAGAAGATGAAGAAGAGGATTAAAATACTATAGATAGTGAAGATAATATTAAATTTGAGGGTCTGAAGTATACATGCAGCCCAAAGTATTTTGACACTGTCATAAAGGGGTTACACATGTAGTAAAGGGGTGTTACACTTATGTTTTTAATAGTGAATGCCATCAAAATCACCAAACCAATTTGGGCTGCATGTATAATTGTGGATGGTGTTACATATGCCACTTTCAAAGAGAGTGCTCAACAGAGGGGTTTCCTAAAAATGACAACGAATATCAACAATGCATTGCCAAAGCTAGAGAATTCCAGATGCCTACCCAACTATGTGATCTATTTGCAAAATTATTAGTCTTTGGAAATGTTCAGATGTACATCAACTATGGACTGAGAACCTTGATGCAATGGCAAAAGATTTTGCACATAATGGAATCCCAGAAGATAAACTTTGAGTTCAGGCAGTTTTTCAAAACTTGAATATATTTCTACAAAGTCATTCAAAGACTGTAGCTGATTATGACCTACCAGTAGGGCTTCTATTCAAATAAGGTTTATTCGAATTATTCACTTTATTCGTTATGAATTTGAGTATTTGAATTACATTGAAAGTTTATTCGAATAAATTTTAATTTGAATAAAACAAATAATTCGAATAAGAAAATTGGTTCGAATAAGGAAATTAATTCGAATAAAAAAAGTAATAGTAATTCGAATAAAATGAATAATTCGAATAAGAAAATTGATTTGAATAAAAAAATTAATTCAAATAAGAAAATTAATTCGAATAATTAAATTCGGATAAAAAAATTAATATTAATTCGAATAAGGGAATTAATTCAAATAAGGAAATTAATTTTGAATAAAGCAAATAATTTGAAAAAATTAATTCGGATAAAAACAAATAATTAAGGTCCAGTTTAAATTCAAGCTCACTGGAAAAATTGCTATTTATTAAAAGAAACATGAATCTTGTTTCAGTCTTTCCTTATTAGTTTCATTTTTAATTTCAATATCAAACCTTGTTGTATATATATATAGTTTGAATATTTAAGTAATTGAACAACCATGATTCCGAATAATCTAATAAAATGAATGAACAAACCCAAGATTCCAATAATGAATAAAACAAATAATTTACGAATAATTCGAATAAGAATTTGTATTACGAATAAACTTTTTAATATTAATTCGAATAAACTTTTTTAATTCGAATAAACTTTTTAATTCGAATAAACTTTTTAATTCGAATAAATTTTTTTAATTCGAGTAAACTTTTTAATTCGAATAAACTTTTTTAATTCGAATAAACTTTTTAATTCGAATAAACTTTTTTAATTCGAATAAACTTTTTAATTCGAATAAATTTTTTTAATTCGAATAAACTTTTTAATTCGAATAAACTTTTAATTCGAATAAATTTTTAATTCGAATAAATTTTTTTAATTTGAATTAATTCGAATAAGAATTTGTATTACGAATAGAAGCCCTACCTACCAGAATTGTCATTGGAAACAAATGTGATTGCCAAAACACTTCGATATATTCTAATTTCAATTCTTTTGATATCACCTCGGAAATAATTATTATTATCATTATTATTACGTACAGATCACCTGAAATTTTTCGGAAATAATTGCCCATTACTATTACTATTATTATTACTATTGCTATTACTATTACTGTTATTATTACTATTACTATTACCATTACTGTTATGACCGATACAGAATTCGACACAATTTTTTAATAATAGTAATAATAATAATAATGTTTTGAATTGAATAACTCGTGATAGCAATCATCACCAAATTTTATCGTGGTTCCTTAGAATATATATCTTTAGGAATTTTTTTAAAGCAAGGTTGTTAGTAATACCGAAAATAATCTGGGCCTTAAAGTTTTTCCTCCTATATAGAAAATTGTCAAGGGTATGTCACAAGACGAATTAGATGTCCAAGCAATTATGTTTTAAATATTTACTCAACTTGTTCATAGTAACGTTAGCCGGTAGAAAAATCTTGGTTGCTAAGAACTTGAATAAATTTTTTATGAAACAATTTACTAGACAAATTGCATACATTTACATCCAATAAAGAAAAATTTAGTGTAATTATGTTACCAGAAAATTTAAGGATCAAGCTCGCCATTGTATTTTAAACGGCCACTGCCACAGCCTATTTGAAGCCCCTAACGGTTCGACTTGACTAGTGATCTGGACATATCAATCAAATTTATTATTTATCTCTTCACATCTTGATTTTGTTTTAAAATCAATGATTTCGTTATATTTTTTAATGACAGAGTTGAAAATGTATTCATTTTCTTCTTTGATATTATCTGGGTACCTCAAATGCAACGGCAATAATAAAGGAGTTGCTTTTGGAGCATAGAGACACATTTAGATCATATTTTTTTCAGGATCGACATCAATGAACCATTGAGAAGATATAACATTTATAACTTCTTTTTGAAATTGTCGGTGTTCTTCATATCCAGTTACTAAATTTTTCAAAGTTCCTTATAATCACCATATTTCAAAGTCTGTATTGTCCAAAAGTAAAATAAGTTAGTTGTTAATTAATAACAAACCAATTAATTTTATGTTGATCAACTTTAAAATTTCTAAATTTTACGTGTCTATTTTTTTATTAAATTTCTTTGTTGCAAAAAAAAAAAAAGTTAATATGACTTCCTAGACTTAAGGATATGATTTAATGTGAAATCCAGGTTGAATGAGGAACTTTGAATTTAATTTAAGCTTTTCAGGCATTTTGATCCAAATGGTCGCCATAAGGCAAACGATCTTTGGCATCGAGCAGAAAGCCACCAAAATAAATGAGTTGGTTGCTGACGAACTTTGTAGTTATCGTTAATGTGTTTTTCAAATTCGCTTTGATTAATTATTGTTTCTAATAAACTGATTAGCATATGAGATCCATTATCCTGAGCCCATCTACCCTGTAAAAGCAGTATGGATTCGCGATCCTTTTATTTAAAAAGGAAAGATTTTTAATGAAGATCAGCGAGTGCATTTTATAATACATTAAAGTTCTTCAGTGTCAAAATCATTATTGGTGAAAGTCATTGGACCTGTCCATCTTCTTGACTAGAAGATACAAACAAGTTATCGAATTAAGCGAAATTCAAGTACAAGGAGGCGTATAACTGCTGATGGATTTGGATTTATTTCACTGCCAGAGATCATTGTCCCTGCGAAAAAAAAGAGTAATTTTTTTAAATCTGGCACCTAACTAAGCCCAATTGCGTTGGCAAATGTATTATAAAATTTTGACAAGTCATTTGAAAAGGTTGAATAAATGACCACGTAATTTTCCATCACCGAATAGAAATGGTTTTTAGGGAACTCTAGAACTCGCGTACAACCGGGAAAAGGCAAAATAATTTATATATATCGAGATCTCAAGGAACACTCAAATTGTTTCCTTAAATTTTCGTTATTGCATGGTCTTAATATATTATATTACTTGGGCTATATAATAGTCACACACAAAGCATATATCAAACGTTGTGTAATGAGCACGGAGACAAAGAGATTCTCTAAAAAATTAAACAACAAAGAAAATCGCATTTTATTTGATTCAATTAATAAATAGAATAATAATTTATATATACTGTAAAAATATTAAGATAAAAAACCATCAGAGCTAGACCTCAGGTTAATCCCCTATACATTTATTGCCTCTGGAAGAATACAAACACTACTGTAAAAATATTAAGATAAAAAACCATCAGAGCTAGACCTCAGGTTAATCCCCTATACATTTATTGCCTCTGGAAGAATACAAACACGTACATTTTATGTCACACGAAAACCGTAAGACTTAAACTCAAAACTTTATTTCACTTTGTCTGGTTTGTTGCAGCACGCCCATATAATAATACAAAAATAAAAACAATTATAAATAAAATAATTTGGTATTTTTCATTTTCATTTAATAAGCTATATCATAAGGATTATCTTCTTCCATCTCTTGTTGTTCATCTTCGTCATCAAATTCATCAAAACTTAAACCCCATTCAAGCAAACAAAGTCTTTTATATTCATCTTGATTTGGTGGTTTTAAATTCCTAATTTTAAATAGAGTTAATTAATAATATTATTAATCAGGAAACATTAAAATTACAAGAACAACAAATATTAT